TTTGAACTTTTCATTTTGAAAGCACGTTACCCCTGACACCATATAAAATAAAACAGTGCACTTTTAAGTGTGTAAACTATTCTATTTATAATCATAACTGTTATACAGAACTGCAATACTAACATACTTATGTTTTCACATACATCGAAACTGTTGTCGTAAACAAATTACTAAATACTAAATGTTACAATCTCTGTTAGAGATAGAAGTTGTAGAGAAAGTGGTATTCAGTTTGAGAATTTGTTTATATTTTGCGAAATGTTTATTTTTAGTTTGGTTTATGTGATTTGGCAAAGCTCGAGGGCTATCTGGCAGAGGAAAGAGATGCCTTCATGGAGGACTTTCTAAGGAAAACTGGCTCATGTTTGCGTTATATAAGGAGAAAACCACGGAAACGCCATTCAGCCAGCCCGTTTGTGAGATTCAAACCTCGGGCTGAAATACCAGTGTTCAGCGACTTTTACTGCTTGGCCACTAGTGGGCCCAGTTTATTTTCGGGGTTCGCCATCTAGGAAGTGTGATCACCTGTAGAGGATTCCTTATGATATTTGAAAAATAATTAGAAAAAATTTTATTTACAGAAAGAAATGTTTTAAATGAATTAACAGGTATTTTAATTAATGAGGTTATTTATAAAGTAAGTATTGTTTGTTGCAATTGGTCTATAATGCAATACAAGAAAGAAATTCATACTGTTTTATGCATATATAATTTACTCAAAAGTAAATATCTATGCTCTTAAATTTAGAAACATTTTAAGGCTTTATGCATACGTATTTTAATGCAGTGCTCTGTGTTTGCAGCTTAAGTATGCCTACCGCTCAAGAAAAGATTAGAATGAAAACAAAGCCAAATTTCCAGTGCTGCAGAACTTTGAATTTTCTCGTGATTTCATATTTATGACTATGGTGTAAACTGTAACTAAAACTTCCTTTTTCTCTATTGCTCGAGTTTAGCTTTTTTGTCTTTTTAACTGAAGAATTATTTTAGAAGCATCTGTTTTTTCAATACTTATTTGGGTGTAGTAGTGTGTGATGATTTATTTTGGTTTAAATAATTTGAACTTGATTGGGGAGGGCACCAATTCAATGTAATCATGAAAAAACTGCTCTGTAGAGCACTAGAAATGGTGGTGCATTGGATAACCGAATGAAATTTCGGAGGAAGCACGGCCAGCTTGGTGAAGCTGTGAAGCTAAGTGGACGCTGTCCGATAGACGGATCTTATGGTCATAGGACCACGCCCACATCAGACCACAAACGATGGCAGCCAGAAACCCAACACCCCCCAAGCAACACGCGGCAGCTCTAGGGATCCAAAACCAGAGCCCCGAGTAAAATAAAAGTTAGTAACGGCCAGCTTCGTAGTTCAATATCATTTATTTTTGGATAATGAATTTCTGAGCACATACCTTCTTAATTAGTAGAACATTAGGTGTGCTAAACATGCCCCAAAGTTTTATACAGTCAAAAGTCGTTAATTCGGACACCCATAATCCGGAATGATCTATAATACGGACCTCAAAGCTGCAAACTTTCTGCGCATGCGTCGACTTCACGCATGCGCACAGGCGTTTACGAGAGCGCGTAAGACCCTTACGGCTGCGAATATGTTTGTGCGCATGCGCGTTTAATGTGTAACGGAGTTATACGCTAAGCTAAAGTTATCTAATTCAGTTAATGTTGCTGATTGCATTGTTCCTTAATCTTCGAATTGGATCCGGCTTATTATTTTTTGCAGACTGTTAGAGCAATTTTATAAAAGTAAGCTTGAACTTTCGATTATGTCAAATAGAATTTCCGATATATATTTACTACAAAGCGAAAGTATGTTTTGAAATCCGAAATCTGTTTATCAATTTCACGCTGCTCTGCGGCAGAGAGGGGGGGGGCAGAAACGTCATTATTAGATTATGATAGATTAGAAAGATTATGTCAAATAGAATTTCCGATATATATTTACTAATATGTAATTTGTATCTACAAAGCGAAAGTATGTTTTGAAATCCGAAATCTGTTTATCAATTTCACGCGGCGGATTGGAAGTTGATCTGTCAGCACTATCCTTATCTTCAGGCAGATATAAATTTTTATAATTCCGTACTAAGGTAGTTCTCTTCTTCTTATATTTAAATAATTTCTCGGAAGAAAACTTTTGAAAAAAATTAAGAAATATCTTAACAGCGGGGACTTCGGACACTACTTATGTTTAATACGAGGGCCATCCAGGAAGTAGATTACGTTTCCGTCTGTGTCCGCTAGGGGCGGGGCTAGCGCGGCCATCTTGGGGTCAGAGCGTTGCGCAGCTCAGTCTGCATCTAGCCGTGCTAGTGAGAGGTTCGTGCTGTGCTCCGTTCAGATACTGTGACGGTTTGAAATGTCTGCGTTAATTGAAAATCCCGCGAGCTGCGAGGTGCGCTCAGTAATAAGGTTTCTGACTGCAAAAAACTGTAAACCGATAGAAATCTATCGGCAGCTTCGTGAAGTGTATGGGGACAACATTATCACTGAAGGTGGAGTGCGTCAGTGGGTCATAAGATTTCAAAATGGCCGAACCAATGTTCACGACGAAGATCGAAGTGGGAGACCCAGCATAGTGACCGCCGAACTTCTCGAAAAAGTCGATGCTAAAGTCCGTGAAAATCGAAATTTCACAATAACGGAACTTTCTTTGAGTTTTCCACAAATTTCGCGAAGTTTGTTGCACGAAATCATCAGCGAAAAGCTTGGTTACCACAAGTTTTGTGCAAGATGGATTCCAAAAATCTTGACAGAGGACCACAAAAATCAGCGAATGGCTGCAGCGTTGAACTTTTTGGACGCTTACCATAAGGATGGTGACTCTTTACTCGATCGCATCGTTACTGGTGACGAAACATGGGTGAAACATGTGAACTGTGAAACGAAATTGCAATCAATGCAGTGGGGGCACACAAGTTCTCCCCAAAAACCCAAGAAATGCATGCAAACAATGTCGGCAAGGAAGATGATGGCGACTGTTTTTTGGGACAGAAAAGGTGTAATTTTGGTGGACTTCCTGGAAAGAGGCACTACAATAAACTCTCAAAGGTATTGCCAAACTCTCCAAAAACTCAGAAGAGCAATTCAAAACAAGCGCAGAGGAATGTTGAGCTCTAAGATCTTGTTGATTCACGACAACGCCCGGCCCCACACGGCAAATGTCACTCGTAAAGTTCTTGAATCTTTTAAGTGGGAGTTGTTTCCTCATCCGCCGTACAGTCCCGACCTGGCACCGAGCGACTTCCACCTATTCCCAGCAATGAAGAAGTGGCTGGCTATGCAGCGTTTTGATGACGACGCACAGCTGCAAGAAGAGGTAACGAAGTGGTTGAAGGCGCAGGCGGCCGAATTTTTCGACGAAGGAATTTCCAAGCTCGTACATCGCTACGATAAATGCCTTAATTTGTATGGTGACTATGTAGAAAAGTAGTATTTGAGTGTGGCTTTCATCTGTATATAATAAAATTTGTTTCCTATACTTTGTTTATTTTTTTATTCCAAAACGTAATCTACTTTCTGGATAGCCCTCGTAGAATTAAAGAGAAAGTATTATCACATACGAGCAACTTACATGAAGGGTTTAATAAAGTAAACAAATAAATATTAAGCTTTTTCTTTTTGTAAATTTTGATACCCTTTAGATCATAATTGTTCTTTATTTCATAAATTACGGTTTCATATTTTTAATTTTGTAATTTCTGCATGCCATCTTACGAGATTTAAACTGATGATCTATAATCCGGAAAAATCGATAATCCGGAATGGCCGAAGTCCCGACGAGTCCGGATTAACGACTTTTGACTGTATACACAGTTACATTTTACATAAGGGAGAAGACCCAGCATTTCGTAGGTTATACACCATAACTATGCAATATCCATCAATCCTGTTATGTCTACTCTAAAATCACAAGAAGTTTAAAAATGTGTAACTTTATATCTACCGTATTAATGCTATTATTACTATTTTAAATGAGCGTTGTTACGGTTTTAAACAGTTACTGTGCATTAAAAATATAGTAGCATTTTTAAAGGCATGTCTGATATTGAAAGATAATTGATACATAGACAAAAATTGAAATTGTAGTAAATATTCAGAAGGAAATTATTATGAAGGCATGTTACTAATATTCTTCTTTCAGTTATGCTTGCTTTTTTGGGTTTATTTGAAAAGAATTATTAAGTGTGAATATAAAGCAATAAGTATAATTGCAGGTATTTTCATATAGATCTTACTTTTTTAAAGTGTTTTTGGGGATTGCAAGAACGAGACGTTTTTAGATACTGAAACCTTTTCTCGAAAGTCTGAATAAATTTGTATGTCAGTTTATTTTACATGGTGATTTTTAATTTTACCTGTTTTTCTTCTGGAATCATGTTCTTATTTATTTAATGGTTAATTAACCCTCTCAGCGTTTCGGCCGGAAAATTCCGTACAGAAGGCTATCTTCTATATTCATCATACAAGAAAATTTTTGCTAGCTTTTAAATGTATCTGATTTAGGTTTGGATGTATATTGGAAGAAAAGGAATCAAAGTACAAAATGAGATAGTCATTTTTTAATTAAAATCAAGAAAATATCACTTATTCATGACATTTTGAGAAATTTTGAAATTTCAGAGCTTAACCCGTAACGCTCGGAGGGTTAAAACTAATAAATTTTCACTTTAATTTTTATTAAAATAATTCATTCGTTTTCTTATAAGATAGGGATTATTCTTTGCTTCACAGGAAATTCTTGTATAATGCGAATGGCAGCATTAAAAAAAAAAAAAAAAAAAAAAAAAATTAAAAAAATTAAAACTATTTTTCATGGTTTTTCTTAAAGGAAGCACTGTTTCGGCAAACTAAAAGAAAATTAAAATTAAAAGCTAGTAGTACTGGCTAATATGTATAGGGGATATAACTGTTAAGTAACATTGAAACTATTTCTGTTTCTTAAATCTTGAATAAATATTGAAAAACTGATTCCTCTTTTAGGGAAGTTCACAAGTTAGCTTAGCTGACTTTTCCCCTGAAACAACCATCACCAAGTGGTATAATGTCCTAAGTTTTCGGTTTATGCAACCAGATCCAGTGCCAGATAAGTGCCCAAAGGTAAGATTAGAGTATTTGAAAACTTTATAAAAGAAAACTCTTTAAAGTTGAAATTGGAAACTTTGTGTTTCTAAAATTGTTTGTCACAAGACATAAACTGAATAAAAAAATACTTTTAAGTACAGTTTCTTGTAATTTTAATTTTCACTGTATTTTTCTCCTAAATTTCAGTGCCACTTGCTGTTAATGCTAATTCTTTTTGCTAGTAATAATGTAATTTTGAGAAAAAAAAACTTTAGATATTTTATGGTATGAGAAGCATTGTGTCAGTGTTTAAAAACATTAAGTCTTTAAACTCATCTTTTTAAACAATTTTATTCAGATTAGCAGCTAATAAATTCTTTAAGATATTTATTATAATTATATAGGAAAAAAAAACATTCAGAGTAATTGAAATGCATGTCATATTGTGCCAGAAATGATGACACAACTTGTCAAAGGGTATGTATTTGAAACATGAATGGTTTAATCAACCTAGTGGTTGATTAATTAGTGCCAAGTAACACGCTTCATTCCTTTAGACAGTGTGAGACTCTAAACTGTTTTAAATTAAAAATTTAAAGTTTCTGTTTTGAAAAATTAGATAAATTTTATCTTTGAAAAATAAGTCTCACATTTGCCTCTGATCTTCCCCTACATGCCATTTGTATTCTGACGGTAAAACACACACAAAAAATATATTTAAAAATTTTTAAAAGCTTTAAGATGCTCAAAAGATAAACAATTAAATTGCATTATTATCCTAAAGGGGGCAGTTTGCCCAAGAGGGCTATTAATTTCGTTTCAGCATTTTACATCTGTTCACTTTTCAAATTGTTGCCACCAAATATTAGAGCCCGGTATCGTATTTAATGAAATTAAATAATGAAGAAGCTGCATAAATGTATGTTTCCCGCGCTGTGAAAAAACAACGGTACCTAGAGACATCACATTTTGAACAGCGTAATCCTCCATTTGAATATGGGCATCTGGAAGCTGAAATTTGTTATCTATTTCATATTTTGTCAAACAATAAAGAACAATTTCAAAGTGAGCAATGGCAACACTACGGGGGAAAAAAAATTATCTCCAGCATGCGTGGCTATGTGTTGGAAATTATAAAGGTATGCTGTTTTAAATATTTTGGAATAATGCTGTTGAATTGAATTTTGTGGTTTAAGTGCGAAGAACATATTTAATAAGGTGACACATAAACGTTAAAATAGCCCCTTTGGGCATAATATAAAATCTGAAAGCTTTCAGTTTTTTACAACATTTTTCCAAAGCTTTTTCTGGTATTGAAATTCTTTAGTAAAGAGGCATAAGTTACATCATACTGAAGGTGAGTTAGAACCCATAGGGATACCATTAACTTGCTAGTAAATTGTGTCATTAAATTTTGTGTAATTGGGAAACAACATACTTTTAAGGTAAACTGACCAATTTTCTTGTGTAACTACGGTAAGAATCTCTTGAAAAAAGTTGGTAATTTTAAGAGGTTATCAAAAATTTCTTCTAATGGTAATGTAATATACAGATTTTCAGTAATAGTAATTAATGTGTTTAACTTCAAGATTTTGATTCACTGTCAAAATCAGTATGTAATTATTAATAATCCAGTTGTTGTTATGTTGTTAATTAGGAGAATCGGTAATGATATTGAGAATTCGCTTAAGCGTTTAGCAAAATGATTGTCTATTTCTCTTAGGTGATTCCTATTGCCATTGGTGATGAATCTGAATTTTATTTGTGTTCTTGTGAAATATAGGTGGTGCATAAAAGTTAGAAAACCGGTTTTTTGAAGCATTAATTCTAAGTCTAGTGTAAAGCTCTGATTTTGTTTCTGTGGACAGTTTAACTTTTTTTTTTTTTTTTTTTTTTTATAGTTATAGTACTTTGGAGATTTTTTTTTAATAATGTTTAATTCTGAAGTTATTATTTGCCTTGCCATTTTTGATGACTATGCATTTTTGATGCAGTAGATTAATTTTGTTTTCCATTTCCTTTCTGTTATGGGAGTATTGAAAGTTGTTGTTAGGAGAAATTCAAAGTTTTTAAACACCACGTCATTGCATTCTAAGATTGCCAAAGTGAGGAAATTAGTTCTGTAGCATGTATTAGCTGTGAATATATATAATCAGCTACTCTGCCTTTATACAAAATCTTGATCATAATTTTGTTTTTTGTTAAGAAAGCATCATAAGAATACTTATATTGAAAAAATGAATTGAATTTCTGAATGAATGAAATGTGCGGTTTCTTATTTTAGAGCCAAAAGTAAGCTGACATAGGTATATATCAAATTCTAGGGAAATGCCTACATGCAGGGATGTTGTGCATAAATTTGGGCTGTTGCAGCTAGTGTCTCAAGAAATTATATGACATGATACTGTGAAATTTCTAAAATTTCATGCTATGCATGTCGAGGTAAATAGTTGCTTTATTCATACCATCATCAGATCCAGTACCTGTATAGTGAAATATTTATTTCAGGGTTATTGTTATATGCATTAACATACAAGGGTTTGATATCATTTGTGATTCTGTAATACAAACCAAGTAAAGATCAGAACCGGTCGCGGACCCTTAGCTGACAACCACTTAACCGACAATACATTTAGCAGACAGGGACACTTAGCCGACAGGACATTTAACTGACACAGACGCTAAGCCGACAGGACATTTCGCCGACACGGACACTTAGGACACTGACACTAGCTGACACGGACACTTAGCTGACACGGACACTTAACCGACAAGTCGTTATTCAGCCGACATGGACAGTTAGCCGACACGGACACTTAACCGACAAGTCGTTATTTAGCCGACATGGACAGTAAGCCGACAGGACACTTAGCCAACACGGACAGTTAGCCGAGATGGAGAGTTAGCCGTCAGGACATTAGGCTTCGGGACACTTAACGCATTTAGTCAACAGGACACTAAGCCGACAGTAACGTTTAGCTAACACATACACAATAATTATTCAAACTTATTATCAATTACAAAATTTCTCGACTTCTCCATAAGTTCAATATTTTAGTTACTTTTTTCCACTATCAGTAAAATTTATTTTTCAATTCTTAAAGATCTCGTAGGTTCTTTTAATTATTGCGTTAATTTAGCATTGTTTGATATTTATCATGCCGTTTGGTGTATATTGGCCATATTGAAAAAGTGGTGGCATTAACAGCAAATTATAGAGGTCTCAAAAAAAAATTTATACCCTTGCTTGTCTTAAAAATTCACTTTTTTAATTTTTTTAAATAACAAAATAAAATGTATTTGCTAAAGTAACCCTTACCACCATATGTTTCTATAAAAAACATATTCCATTCCTTCAAAGCCATTCCTGTAACAGGAATGGCTTTGAAGGAATGGCCTGTTGCAGGAATGGCCTGTTGAAGTTTTTCAATCTTAACAACACAGATGTTTTTATTCTAACCATTCCTTCAAAGCCATTCCTGCAACAGGAATGGCTTTGAAGGAATGGCCTGTTGCAGGAATGGCCTGTTGAAGTTTTTCAATCTTAACAACACAGATGTTTTTATTCTAACCTCCATGTACGGTGTACAGGATGTGGCGACATTATGATGAGCAGTAACAAGTTACCTCTGTCTCCTAGTCTCTGTTTAAGAAGGTGTTGGGCAGCAAACCAGTCATTTTAGTGTTAGTGGCAGTTCTCAAAATTGTACCAAGGCCGTAGTGAAGATTATGATTTTACCGCAAAATCTTTTAAACTCTTTTTTTTTTCCCATTTTAATAAATGCTCTATTTTTCATTTTGCAGCAAAATAAAAAATAGTAGTCACTCATCTAAGCTAACGTTTAATATGGCTATATTTGCCAAAATATCATTGATTACTGTAATTCAATTTTTAAGTAATTAACTTCATTTTAATGTCATTTATATCATTTAATGTTTTTCTTTCCTCTAAATTTATTATTAGTTAATAATACTTTCAAATTTCAGGCAAATTTCTCTGGCATAATTTTAAAACTAAATCTAGCAGTATGGACGTGCTATCACGAAATTTAATGCAAATATTTTTGCTTATTATGCTGCTAAATAAATATATAATACCTGAATTTATTTAAAAATAACATTAAATAGATTTCTTTCTTTTGTTTAAGCTGCAAAATGTCTGCGAAAAAACTCATTTTTTAATCAAGATTGGGCAGATTCTAATATCAATCTTCAGTGGAGAAACCAACTCTTATTATAGCTATAATAGTAATGTTTTCGGGATTATATATATGTCATATGCAATTGACAAATTGTTGTGTTTTCGAGTGGTACCATAATTAATTTACCTCTCAGCGCAGCCAACTCGCACTATGTGGATAGACTGGACTTTTTTCAAAACACACCTGGAAAAGGGGATTTCATTCTCTGAATTTGTGTGGCAACCCTGATGTAAAGTGAGTTTTTGTGAGAGAGTTTTACACTGTTCTTTCACGTCAGAGTGAAGTGTGAGTCACACAGTTGCTTTATTAAAGCACAACTAGAATAAAAGGTTAATCACCCTATTATTGGTTGATGATGACCATCACTGGATACCAGCAATGCAGTAACATTTTCGTTAATGAGTTACAAAAGAGTTCATAATGCAGATTGTTACATACTTCTTTTTAGAACATGGTTTTGGTGTTGCTTGTTTTCTGGCAAAGGGCTATATGAGCTGTAGTTCATTTTCCTGTAATGTTGCATGCATATGCTTAATGATGTTGGTGTTTTTGGATCATGTAGGCTAGTTGATTCATTAAATATCTTCACTTCTCCACTATTCTGATTTAATGAGACAGTAGTATTATCTATTGAAAAGAAATACTTTGCGAGTGGCAGCATGGAACAAGTTGAATGTTGCATTCAGTAACCTTTGTCCAACCATGCTTGCTAGTTGTGTTGCCATTTTTCAGCACCTGTAGGTCAATAGTCAGAGGCCCTCTTGTATCATTGTCCTAATGCCAGCATAAAGATAACTATCTTATCTATATTCTTGCCTTACTTTATTTCATACCATATTGATACTTATGACTCAATTGCCTATTGAATTGACTTATTGAACACTGACTTATCGATTGCCTAATGAACACTGCATTGCCTTTTTATTGGAGTGTCCAATTCCAGTGGATCCGGCACTCCTGCAAATTAAGCTGTTCTCTTATATAATGCTACATAAACCGTTGATTCCACATAACTGAAAGTGTGAGCCACAGTTTGGTAGTATATCCTCAATCTTGTAATAACATTTGAGGCTACTTGAAAGTCAGCTGTTCATGTAGTTTTGATTGCCTTTAACTGTAGCTACTGAGCATCAGTTTTATATAACTGCAGAGGTATGGCAATCTCTTACATTCAGTTTGGAAAACATTTAGTTCATTTGAAATGCTGGCCAATGCTCGCGTGATTCCAAATTCAACAGAAGCTTCAGCATTGTGATGCTTTCTTCCAGTTTTCTTGTAATCAGTGTTAAAATTAAGATGATGTGTTTGAGATATAAGAAACTCATGTTTGCACATTTACTTTTTCTTAATTAGAATTTCATGTTTGCACATTTACTTTTCATAATTAGAATTTCTGTCAAATGCAGTTGGTTTTAATTTTATTTTCACATACTTTCAACACTACCATATGACCTCTGAATGCTAAATCTGAAAATACGTACATTAATTGATAGATTGCTTTGCTTAATGATGCCAATTGCAGCAGATTAATAGACTGGATTCTCCAGTAGTAATTTAGCATAACAATACACATTCTTGAGTTTTGAGCACATTTTTAGAGCTGCTATTTTGGTTATTTTTATTTATATTTAAAATAATTCAGTGACATGAATATTTTTCAGTTATGTATAACGAGTCGGAAATATGGCTTCATGTTTGAAGTATGATGATGTGTGCAATTTTTGTTTTGTTCAGGGAATTGATGAATGATATTTTAAACTTGATACTTCATTTATTTTTTATATCAAGCAAACTCCATTGTGCCCAAGTTTATATCATTAGCTAGTATGGTGCTGAGTATGCATCTGCTTGGTACAATTCCAGTAACATACTAAAAGAAGTGATAATGGAGATAAGTTTGTAATGCAGCACTGTTTCCTATCAACTGTGGGAAGGTGAAAAACATAACTACTTGCAATGAAAAACATTCAGATAAATCCCTCTTGAAAGGAGTTGTAGGACCACAGAGCCAATAAAGTGAATACATGTGGTACTGCTTTTCAAACTCAAGGCTTGATTTTCCAATGATTTTATCATTATTCCTTTAGTCGTGTCATTGCACAGTATGATCAAACAATTAGCCATATTGATGGTGGGGGAGCTTATTCAAGCAATATGGTGAGCAATTCATTACCAAGCAATATGGTGGGGGAGCTTATTCATTGTGTAGCATAAATATACAAACATTATTGCTAGCTGCATCTTAGGCAGAGTTTTATTGCAAAGCTGTTATCTGCAGTGAAATTAGTAGCTTAAAGTAATTCCTAAAGTAAACTGAATTTTCAAATTTATTTTTAGCGAAAGGAAAATGATGATCGATCTGAAGTTGCTGAACACCTTCATACTAAAGTGTTTTCTTTCAAAGAAGAAAGCAGTGATGAATCAACCATTATATCGTCACAGACCTCAACTTTAACGAGAAATCAAGGTGAAGATTTTCAAATTTGCAGTGTTAAAATGTTTGTGTAATTTGAGTTCTTTCTAAGAAGCTAGCAGTAAATGTTAATCTTTTTTAATATCTTTAAAATATATTTGAGTGCTTTTATGACAAATGCACCTTTGTAATAATGTTCTTAGAACCAGATGAATTTCTGCTAAAAACTATAGTTGCCGTATTTGTTACTTAAATATAAAGTTCAATGTAATTCATAGCATATATTTCATTTTCCTGCTATTTTGTCAGTTATACAGTAAGTATTGAATTGAGAGCTAGGGGATTATCCATGATCTCTTATCATTTCTAGGCTTTATACAAGATAATTCAGAATTTTCTTTTTTCACATTTTTATGATTTTAAAAATTAATTATGCAGTATATGTGAAGGGGAAATCTGTTTTCCATACAAACGTTTGATGTGACTTCCATTAGTTACTTACAGATTGTCAAGGTATTTTCAGCATTCTTGCTAACCACATTTCAGTGTGATAGTTTTCAAAGCAGTAAAAATGCATTTTGTTAAGTTCTGTTGGGTGTAGAAGGCACAAGCAACTATCTTTCATATCCTGAAAGGAAGATGTCATAGAGGGTTAGTATCTATGCAGTAAGTGGTTCAAAAGTACACTGTTGGACAACATTTTCCCCACATTTCTTCTAAAATACTGCACAAAACCTAGACAGTTGGTTGCCATATAATGTCACTGTGTCGCTGGTGTCACTGAGATGAGTTAACGTAATTCTTGTGGGCATTGCTACACCAGCAGGAGGTGTAAAATTCCCCATCCAGCTGCTCAGCTCATTCAGCTGTATAACACGGTACTGATTTTTTTGACTTTCCTGAGTAATCTTGTTTTTTGGGTGAAATGGGTACATATCATCACTTAGACAAAGGTATGAGATAGGGAATCATTGGTAGGCTTGAGCAGGGCAGTCCGTAGCTCAAGTTGAAAGAGAACTGGATGTAACACCAAGTATCAACTCTAGTATGTGGAGTCAATTTAGAAACAGCGGGACAGTGTCCAGAAGACCACGACATTGTTGCCAGAGAGCTACAACTACCAATGACGACTGGTATTAGGTACTTAAACCAAATGCCAGAGGACACCTACAGTCACACAATTGTCTCATGACCTGTCTACTGCCACAGTAACATCAGTTTCAAGAAAGACAGCTGCCAAAAGTTTCCATGGAAAACTTTCATCATCCAACTTTCCATCAATTAACATCTAATTGTCTTGCCAGAAAGCCCGCTATTTGGATCCCACTTATTCCCTCCAATAAAAGAGAGCGTTAACAATGGGGCATACAACACCAATGCTTCAGTGGGCTATGTTCTCTTCACAGATGAGTCCAGATTCAGTCCACAACCTTATTCTCAGTGTTTATTGATATGGACAGACCTGGGACCCGATATCATCCCAGCATCATCATAGAAAGGGATCAATATGGTGCGGGAGCAGTGATAGTCTGGACAGGGATCGTGTAAGATACCTGCACACACCTCCATGTGTTTGACACTGGTTAAACTGGACTTAAATGTCCAGAGGGTACAGGCAGGAGATCCCAGGGCCCTATGTGTGACTTTTGAGGGGTGTTTGTTGGCCCTGAGTTTGCTTTTAGGGGCGACAGTGCACGACCACATTGGGCCCACCTGGTTGATGACTATGTGGAAAGCTAGGATGTTCACCAAATGGATTGGCCAGCCAAATCTGACCTTAATCCTATTGAACATGCGTGGGATGCTCTCGGGAAGGCTATTGGAAAATGCCAGCCACCACTCATAAACATTTAGGAGTTAAAAACTGCTCTAGAGGAGGAGTGGATGCAGCTTCCACAGGGGGGCTGTTGAACTCTAATTAACAGCCTAGCTACTCGTGCGTGCTGTCTGTCAGAGGTGATCACAAAACATACTAGCCACAATTTCACTGCCATCTTTCCAAACTCAAATTTGGACCACATTGGACTCTTGGTTCTCAAGCTAATATATGACATTTTCATTCATACTTTGTATACATTATTGTCATACTGCAAACTATATCCATGCCTAATTTCATTTATTTCTGTCCAGCATTTCTTGAGATATTTGGAAAAAAGTGTTCCATCTCTTAATTTTGTTCATCAATATAGAATGTCTCTTTCACTGCATCTGAATAACTAAACACATGAGCAATGTGAAATGCTTTCAGCTGTTTAGATGCCATTTTCATTTTTTTCAAAAAGGATTTCTTAAACCATGTACAAAATTAGTCATTTTCCTTTTACATTTTCTTAATAATCACCATTTTGTTAACTTTTAAGATTAAAAATTTGAAAATGGATGTTTTTTCCTCAATTAATTTCCTTGTATTTTAAAAGGAAGCATACAGTGAACTAGTGATTAAAACAAGGGGAGGGAATTAACTAGGTTTGTCTAAAAACTATTGATGAATTTGTTTATTCCAAAACAGTGAAATGACACAGTTTAGATTGATAGTTACTATTTTTAGTACAGAAAAGTGAAGTATCCAAATTAAAATGAGGAACGGAGGGGCCACTACAAAATCAGAGTTAGCACTTTGCTTTCATATTTTATATTTTGCATGTGTGCATTAGAGTCCGAAATCTGAGTGTCTCTCATGCAGTAATTTATCGTGCATAACCAGAATGACACCACTAGCACTTTTTTTTTAGAATTGTTTTCATTACAAAGTCTAAGAATAAAGAATATATACTTGAGAAAAAGTTTGCTGTAAAAGCAATTTTTCTCTGGACTAAGATTTTTGCAGGTCAGTTTGAAATGCTTGGTGACTAGATAATCAGACAGTAGGCAAGGCCAGTGCATTGATTGACATCGTGTTGATGTTAGTCATGAGCACCGTTAGAAACCATGAATGATTGGGCAGGAGAGAAAGGAAGAAAGATTTCCCAGAATCTAAGTTCAGTTTAGCAAATCTTGCTCTTCCATTAACTTTCTGATTTGAGGGAACTTATTTTCTTCTGTTATTAATCTTAGATTGCAATTTTAGTAAATGAGAACATCTGTGTTTTTACTCTTTTCTCGAAGCTAAACATCTGTTAATCAGTCAATGGATATCAAAAGTTAGTTCATACTGAAATGCACATAAAGAAATAGCTTAAAAACTAAAGAGATTAAGGCTGTCCAAGAAGTCTAGAAAATACTGTTATGTAAAATATGATGTTAAGGATATTGCCTGATCATGATAGGATGTGTCTACAGATATTTTTAAAACGCTTAATATAATTTATAGCCAGCTACCAGATTTCATGATGTGATGGTGAGAGCTTTACTGTTTTTGGATATATATTTATAATGTAGGAAGAAATGATATTTATATAACAAGTCTTACGTTGCAATAATAATGCCTTAATTATTAACCAATTAACGAAATGGTAAATATTGGTAATATGGTTTTAAATCTGGAAAATATTGCAATTTCAGCTCCAAGACACATTTAATATCACATTGTGGTGATTGCGGAGGGGGAGCTTCCTTTATGCAAAGTATCTCTTTCTTAAAGAAATATTAAAAACGAAATTTTTTTACAAACCGATGGTCTGATATTCAGAAATTTCTGAAATCCAAAATGAGCGAAGTCCAACAAATTCTGGATCTGGTATTTCATACTGTATATATCTAGAGAGAGAAGGAGAGAGCTTTTACTTTTAAAGAAATTATATTCAATTTTTTTAGGCTCAGAGATGGTTGAATGTGGTATGGGAGGAGATGATTTGGACAGTGATGAGGAAGAAGATGATGAGGAAGAGGAAGGTGATGTAGGTGATGAAGTTGGAGCTGTATTAGAAGATTTAGTAAGTTTTATTGTATTTGTAAACTTGATAAGTGCAAAATTGATTGCATTTTTTTTTTTTTTTTTCATCTGTGCATTTTTTTTTTTTTTTTTTTTTTTTTTTTTTTTCATCTGTGGTAATTATGTGAAGCAGTTTAGTTAAAGATGTCGATTTTTGTCTTGAAACTCTCAATTTCTTCCTTTAGTGAAAATTACTCATTGTTTCAGTTTATATATAAACTTATGTGTACTCTTACATTAATAAAAGCCTCCAGCTTTTTTGAATCCTTTTTATATTTAATGTGAATTGAAGATTATAGCTTGTTTAAAAAAAATGTGAAAATATGGTAAATGTGTTAAAATTTCAAGTGAATAAGAAAACTATTTATATTTGTAAATTGTTACAGTTATTATTTTTGTACATATATTATGTAGTAAGTGATGGAATTTTATTAAGATATAGTAAATGAATGGGATAATTCAGGGTAAAAATTAGCATAGATAAGCATTGAATTATAGCTGACTGCAGTTTTCTAACAAGTTTGAATCCTTTGTTGGAGAAATTCATAGGCTTGGATCAGGTTTGTCCATGCTTCTAACAGGAATGGAGTTGATGGTATGTCATTCACAAGATTGCTATAGAAGAAAATTTCAGAACTTTTAACATTGGAACCAGCATTATGTCAAATGATGTATATGCAGCCCTTTCAGAAATGCTGCCGATTAATGGTTAGTAGTTGTACTGTTAATAGGAGTAATAGCAGCATTAGCAAAATTTAAATTAAATTTACCTGTTACTAATTTATGGGAAAAAATAAACAAAAGTAAAACTTTCTACTTTATATTCCTTTGTTTTAAAGCATCTTTTAACTCTCATTTCATGATTTTTGAAATCTTTTTAAGTTGAAATAAGAGTATTAGTATTATGAAGCAGTTTTCAATTTCCCCCCCTTTTTTTTCCCTCTTTTTTTTTTTTTTTTTTTTTATTTACGAAGGCAATTTTTTGTGAATATCTTCTAACAAAGCTTTTTGAATTTCTTGCTTGTAAAGCTATTGTGGATATATTATTTATTAATTTCTTTTATGTAATTTTTCATTTCTACACATTAACCTGTTAACTGGGGAATAAGCTTTCAGTAAAATCGTTTCACAATGGGGACTTTTTCCTTTGCAGTAATTTCAGCACATCGCAAGGAATAAATAAAAGAAAATCGTTTTAAAATATTTAATGATATTAAATATTAAAATTAAACATTTTTAATCCGGAAAAACAAATTAATTGAACGAATTTAAACAATTATTTCGTATGATATTCCCTAAAGCAATGCGGCATATACACAAAGCAACACTGCAGTCGAGACAACACCAAAATCTCGATTATTCTTTCCTAAGACCTTTGGAATAGCATAATTTGCATCTCCTCATTACATTTACTCTTGAAGAGTCGGATGGTATATATAGTCTGCAAAATGTCTTTCAAAGAGTCGAGATGGTTTTGGTGTCAAAGATGATCATCCTGTACTAGTAGATGGCAACTGCGATCCGTCTCTGTATTTTTCAACACCTTTTTCTACAGTTTCGATAAGGAAATGAAGCCTATCTAGGTGACCGCCATCTTTCTTGCATAAAAGATATGCATTCAAACCCACCATGTCTAGTGCATGTAAAAAAATCTTATAGTAATACTTTTTTTACTTGGTATCTAGCGATTTCATAAGTTTTCATTTGTCCGTCAGCAAGATCAACTCCTCCCATATTTTTGTTGTAGTCAGCGATAACTTCCGATTTTGATATCGTTTTCCTTCGTTTTTCTATTTCTACAAATTTATTGTCGTGGATAGTACTCAATATAATTACATCCTTTTTGTCTTTCCACTTCATAATCATTATTTTGTCTCTGTACCTAGCAATATGTTCATCTTTTTTCAAAACACAATTTTTGATATCAGATGGTATTCCCTTTCTATTTTTTCGCATTGTTCCTACAACATCGGTTTTTCTTCTGCACATCTTCTCAGCTAGATCAGTACTAGTGTACCAATTATCGAGGTATAGCGTATATCTTTTATCCAACAAATCGTGGCACAATTCAAGAACAATACGATTTGGTCCCTGTTCTTCTGGATAGTTCGAACCATACTGCGTGTCTTTACCTGTATATATAATGAAATCACTTATGTATCCGGATTTACTTTCACATATCTTATACAATTTAACACCAAATTGACTTCTTTTCGATGGAATGTACTGTTTCCAAGACAGTCTTCCTTTCCATAGCAAAAGAGACTCATCTACAGATATTTCCTTATCTGGTACATATAACACCTTGAATTTGTTTCTCAAATAGTTCAAAATGGAATCAATTTTGTAGGTTTTTCTGTTGCACACTTTTAGATCGAAAGCAACTAACAGTTGGAATCTTTTTTCTGACATAATTTTATAAAAAAATGGAGTCTCCAGACTCTCGCTTTGTGAAATAAAGCCGATAAGAAGGTTTTGCTATTATTCCTTGCAAATTAGTAAAAAAAATAAATACTCTCATCTCTCGGTCATCTGTGTCAACCCACGAGAGACATCTTGAACGCGGTTTCATGGAAGTATTTTTTTCAAAAACTGTCCGGCGTATTTGTTTGATTGTTCCACAATAAGTTCTACAAAATTCTAATCTATAAATTTTTCGAAAAAAAAAAGGCAATCCTTTTCTTCAGGTCCTTCAAATGTAAGTCTAGATTGAGATAAAAATGGGAAAGGCGATCGCAATGTTCTTTCACATTTTCATCCAGCTGATGTAGGTTGAGTGTTTTGGTCTATAACATCATCATCCTTTGATTCAATGTCCGGACCATCAGTAAAGAAGTCGTTATCGCTTTCTTCCGAACTGGTACTTATTCTTAGAATTCGACGTCGTTTACCAAACGTCCCGGGCAATATTTCATCGTCACTTTCAGACAATTCAAAAATATTTTCTGCTTCCCAATAATTTTTAGCCATATTTATAAAAAAACTAACAATTACTCAAATCAACAAGTTATTACTAATATGTAAAATACGGAAATGCAGACTAAAATGAAATTAAGTTGTGCAAATTAGGAGTATTATCACAATTTATGAGCGGACAAGTGTTTCCATTGATCGATTTTTCTTGAACAAATAGTCTTCCCAGCATGACGAAACATTTCGTCGTACCCATTGAAATACTCTTCCCAGCATGACGAAACATTTCGTCATACCCATTGAAATAGTCTTCCCAGCATGACGAAAAATTTCGTTATACCCAGTTAACAGATTAAGTTGCCCCTGGATTGCAGAATATATAGATTTTTGTTAATTTTCTTTATGAAAATTTCAAAGATTTTTTTTTTTTTTTTTTTTTTTTTTTTGTTCCAGTTATCCTCTTCCAGAAAACATGATTTTTGCTGTCATAAATTTGCCAAGAATTCGTTCTATAGAAAATAAAAAATAAACTACAAGAATTTATTTGATATTACACCACGAAATAAATGCATTTCAGAAGTTTCCCACATTAACGGGCAACTGTTGATACATTATGAGCAACTTCTGATATGCAATGGTTCTAGTTGTAGTCTAGGGAACTATATGAAAACGATAGACTTTTTAAAAAAAATGTAAACCCTATACTAAGCCATGTAAAGGTCGAAGCGAGAGCAGCACCTGTGGATTCCCGAAGGTGTATTAGGTATCCTTGTGCATTGTAGACTTGTGCATGTAGACATTTTAAGTAATGTACGCACTATACTTAGACATGTGCAGGTTGAAGCAACAGCAGCACCTGTGGGGTCCCAAAGGTGCATTAGATATCGCTGTGCCTTGGAACTATTGTTCTCCACCCCAGTTTTGATTAAGAACAAACCAGGGGACAGTTCTGAGGGACTCCCACCCCTCTTTCCCTACCACCAACCACCAGGGAAGACTTCCGCTCACTGTGTATTTTAAATGCCCTCTTTGCTGAATAGACTAGTGCAGGGGGACTGAGAAGAGCTCGAGGTTTATGAAATCCATGGTATTAGGCTGCTAGGTGGGGTAGGGAATGAAACCAGGTTTCATAACCCTCTTTAAAGCATGCTATATCAGTAGGTATGGAGTAGTGGACCATAGAGCATCGTTTGTTTGTACAGTCAAAAGTCATTAATCCGGACTCGCTGGGATTTTGGCGATTCCGGATTATAGATCATCAATTTAAATCTGGTAAGATGGCATGCAGAAATTATAAAATTAAAAATATAAAACCGTAATTTATGAAATAAAGAACAATTATGATCTAAAAGGTATCAAAATTTACAAAAAAAAAGCTTAATATTTATTTGTTTACTTTATTAAACATTTCTTTCAATGTAAGTTGTTTCGTTTTATGTGATAATACTTTCTCTTTAATTCTATAAACAGACATAATTTCTTGTTCAGTTACAAAGTTCCGCTGTTCAAGTCCTATAATTGCTGTATCGAGAATACTGACTAATTTGTCAATCGAATTTTTTTCATTTTCAATAACCTCTGTAATGACGAGGAATTTGATTTAAATCATAACAAAGATGGAATACATTGAGAGGAAATACTACATTTAGTAAGGAATTATAAGCCAAATAAAATGAAAACATCTGCCCTAAAGATACGGATAGTGCTGACAGTTCAACTTCCAATTCATTGCGTGCAGCGGCATTGAAAAAAATCTGCCCTGAAGATAAGGATAGTGCTGACAGATCAACTTCTAATTCATTGCCCCCCACCGCAGAGCAGCGTGAAATTGATAAACAGATTTCAGAATGGTTAGGTCATTTTTTTTGCAGCAATTCCACTTTTGTTTTAATGGACTTCGAAACAAACATACTTTCGCTTTGTAGATCCTTTACATATTAGTAAATATATATCGGAAATTCTATTTGACATAATCGAAAGTTCAACCTTACTTTTATAAAATTGCTCTAACAGTCTGCAGAAAATAATAAGCCGGAGATCCAATTTAAATATTAAGGAACAACGCAATCTGCAACATTAACTGAATTAGATAATTTTAGCCGAAGAAAGTCTATGATTCTTTGATTTTAGCTTAGCTTATACCATCCGTTATATGTTAAACGAGCATGCATAAAAGTATTGTGCGCATGCACACACGCATATTCGCAGCCGTAAAGTTCTTACGCGCGTGCATCAACGCGACGCCTGCGCAAAACGTTTGTAGCTTTGAGGTCCGGATTATGGGTGTTCGAATTAACTACTTTTGACTGTATATGGAATGTTTTTTATAGATGCTGAATCTGTCACGGCAGCACAGCAGCTTTTTCGTGTTCATTTCAATCTTAGACATTAGCAATAAAATTGCATGTATTTTTACAGAAATTTAACATTTGGGTCGTTTATTCTCCTATTCATAAAATTCCCAGTTCCATAATTGAGAATCCCATTCCGGATATGAATTCCTGGGCTATTTTACAGGATTCCTTGCCATTGGGATTTAATTTACATTGGTCAAACTAAGCCTTAAAATATTGTGCTAAAGAAAACGAGGCGTATGTTACAAAAAAGGAAATGCAGAAGTCCTCTGTTGCCCAGCATTGTTGATCTGAAAATCATCATTTCCATTTTTCTGCAGCCAGAATTATTCAAAAAACATCTTCCATTGATGAATTATATTTTCTAGATGCTTTTCACATTAAAAAAAATCAGTTAACGACTCTAATTCCAATTCATCTTTACCCTCAGTCTATAAGAAAATTATATTTTAGTTCTCTTGTTTCATCAATAGATGGTGCCAATAGCTTAACTCCTGTCCAGCCATTCTTATCTCGTTCATTAGCATTTTGGCACCTGAGGAAGCTGGCTTGGTAGTTAAACCATTGAAATGAGTCCTACGAAATTTGCAAATATGCCGCTGATTTTTTTGTTTGACTTCTAAAATAATCATTGTTCGGCGTGTTATTTTAAAATAAATTAAGAAGACTAATGTTTAAATTTTGTTGCTTATTACTGATAAATTTGATATTCATGTAATGCAAGTAAAATTAAATAGATAAAATGTAGCTGCTGTGATGTTGAAAAAACTTTTTATTAACATAACTACATATTTTATTTGCATGTTTGAAGCTAAATAATGTGCTTATTTGCTGAGATAACTTCAAAATACAGGAAGAGCTAGTTACATTTTTCTTCTCGGCCTTTATTTTCTGGTAAAAGTTGCTTTAACCCCACATAATTAGGAAACAATAACAACTGTTTTCAGGTATAAATAAAAGTGTTTAGCATTGCTTAGCAGAGTTTCACTATGCACTAATCATTTTATATTTTAGTAAGCTGAATTAATTAATTACCACATGTTGTCATAAAATTAGCATATAATTAAATATTACATTCCATGGTTACTAATAATTAATTCCGTGTGTTAGCTGGAGGAAGAAGTAGCAGGAGCTTTATTGTATTTTCGGCTAACAAGCAGAATATTCTGCCACTAAATACATGGCAAAAAGTTTGATGCCAGGAAGGGAGTGGATATTTCTGCAGTACCATTTAATTAAAAAAAATTATGTTTAAGCAAATAATAATGTGTTATATTTATGTGTAACTGAAGAAATAGGAAAAATAAGTAAATAATTTTTATATATAAATTTTTCTTTTATAGGTAGTTTAACAATACTGTGTTCTCTAATCGGAAAAATAAAATAAGTAACTAGGAAAAATTATAAATATTTTTATATAAAATTTTCTTTTATAGATAGTTTAACAATACTATGTTCTCTAATTCATGAGCATGTATTTAAAAGTAGAACAGGATGAATTGCATATGTTTGTAAATATTCATCTTTTTTTCATTTAGCAAACTTGTGTGGAATGTGAAGCAGAGCGGTTAGCTCAACAGCAAGAAGTTTCATCTGTTCAGTTGTGTGATAAAGAGACTAATACAGAATGTGTATTTCTGCCTGAAAAAGCACTGAAGAAAAGATCAGAAGAAGCATCTAAAAGTGCTGTCATTAAACGATCGCAAACATTTTCACCTAGTGCTGCTGTTAATAAGCATCAGTATATATGTAGAGTAAGAATTTTTTCAATGTTTTGTTTTTCCCACAGATTTTAATTAATTTTATATTTGGCACTTTGTATATGCAGATTAGCTGTAAATGAGTAACTGGTATATCTTTGGTTAAAATATTTGATTCCTGTTACTAAATAATTAAAATTTGGATGAAGTATGTTGTGTCCCATTGTTTTGGAAGAACACAAAATTAGTAGCCATAAACACAAAATTAGTAACTTCAACAGAACCCCTTTGTGAATAAGAATATTTATACCTCTGGTTTATTTTTTAAAGTATACATATTACTACAGTCAAAAGTCTTTAATCCGGACTCGTCGGGACTTCAGCGATTCCGGATTATCGTTTTTTCCGGATAATAGATCATGAGTTTAAATCTGGTAAGATGGCATGCAGAAATTATAAAATTAAAAATATAAAACCGTAATTTATGTAATAAAGAGCAATTATCATTTAAAGGGTATCGAAATTTATATAAAAAAAAAAAAAAAAAGCTTAATATTTATTTGTTTACTGTTTTAAACATTTCTTTCAACGCGCGCATGCGTAAAGCATACATTACGCATAGTCGAAATTAGGAAATTGCAACCAGAAAACTATTTGATGCGTATTCGTGATATTTATGATGAGGAATTTGATTTAAATCATATCAAAGACGGAGTACATTGAGATGAAATACTACATTTAGTAAGGAATTATAAGCCGAATAAAATAAAAACATCTGCCCTTAAGATAAGGATAGTGCTGACAGATCAACTTCCAGTTCATTGCGTGCCGCATCGCAGCGCAGAGCAGAGCAGCGTGAAATTGATAAACAGATTTCAGAATGGTTAGAGAATCAAAGGATATGCCTTTATCCATTTCTTGCAGCAATTCCACTTTTTGTTTGATGGACATCGAAACATGCTTTCGCTTTGTAGATCCTTTGGTAGCTCCAGAATCGGAAATTCTTTTTGACATGATCGAAAGTTCAAGCTTACTTTTATAGAATTGCTCTAAAGCACCGTTCCCACTGGGGTTTATCTGAGCTAACGGAGTCAGTTCCCTGTGTCAACTAGCTCCGCTGTGCCTGCAGTTCAGATTTTTCAACTTGCTGCTCTATGGGGAAAAACTGGTTTTGGGGATGTGTCGACTGCGTTAGTTGTGTTCGTTAGCTCAGATAAACCCCAGTGGGAACGGACCTTAACAGTCTGCCAAAAATAATAAGCCGAATTCAATTAGAAGATTAAGGAACAATGCATTCTGCAACATTAACTGAAATAGATAATTCGATAATTTTAGCTTAGTTTATATTCTGTCCGTTACACAGGAAACGCGTATGCGTTAATGCATTATGCGTTGACGCATGCTCAGAAAGTTTGTAGCTTTGAGGTCCGGATTACAGATCATTCCAGATTATGGATGTCCGGATTAGACTTTTGACTGTATTATATTTTTCAGGAATTTTCATGTTATATTTAATGTATAACTTATATCTGCTTTTCATACTTCCTGAAATTACATATTTGTTTGTGTGTTATTAATACTTGTATATTTACAAAATTGAATGATTACTTATCTGTGTAATTTCATAGCTTACATATATATTAGTTACGAATTCAGTTTAGAAAACTTGGATATAAATGCATAGTAATGTTCTTTTTTTAAAATGTTCAAAACATATAAGTGTACTATGGAAGTCCACTGGCAAAGTTGTATGTGTTTTAAATAATATTTTGCCAGTGAAAGTATTCATTATCTTTAATTCTTTTCAAGTTTATGTGGAACTTTCTAAGCATTATCTGACCCTTTTAATAGAAAAATTTCCAATTGTGTTGTGCTGCTGTGTCACTGTCATCACATAGATATTTTTGCTGTTTTTTTCACAATATTTTTATCAGGCTATGAGGGTATTTGTTATTTCCATGCTTGGTTTGTGCACATAGTTTAAGAGAAAGGTTAGCATCATACTTGTTGAAAATAAAGCTTAAGTCTTGAAACTAAAATAATCATAATGTAATCTATTGGCATGAATTTTGCAATTTCATTTTAATAATGAAAATTTTTAATAATTTTATGTAGAGAGAACGTAATTTGCAGTATGAGGAAGTGTAGCTGTTGTGATGTCAAAGAATTTTTTTTTAACATAATGACGTAATTGAAATCAGTATTATTGTAAAGTTTTATTTGATGACACTATTTTGATGGGGCAAAGGCTAATTTATGAGGTATTTGAAATTTGTGCATGACTATTGACCAGAACATAAGTTGTTGAATGAAAGGAAGAAAAACTAGTAAAGGAAGGTTGCCAGCAGTCTTGTTTCTGTTATTTTTATTTCTAGAAAATGAAAATCTGCCTGTGTCAGATGTTTCCTTAAATAAGCAAAGTGTAAATGTGGGCTTGCGTGTTTAATACCATAATTAGATAAATGCATGTAATTATATGAATTATGGATTAATTATACTATTTCAGGGATGTGCTTTGAATTTTTCTTTTAATTATTATATAATTACTTCTTTAATTTTTTTTATAAATCTTTTTGTTCAGTATAGCATTTGGAATTTCCATAGTAGTGTCAAGAGAATCTTATGTATTTGGCTTTGAAGTCTCTCACTGACAACACTTTGATTTTGACTTGCCAGTAGAATTATAGAGGAAGCTTCTAATATGGTATTTTTATTGTGTAGTCTTTGACTAATATTCAGCTTTTAATTTGGACAGTTCTATTTATTTGCATCACTTTGAATTGTGGTTATTGTAGCTCAAGAGTGCATTTCTGTTCCAAGCTCTGCTTCAATAAAAAGTTTATTTAAACCTTCTCAAGATGCGTTGTTTTTGGATTTAGTAATAAGTCATTTCATGTCTGTTAGGGTTATAGGACTATAATAGCATTACCAGATAAACCATATAACTGTATGCACTAAAGTTCCAATAATTTAAAAAGAAAAGAGCTTATGAGTAACTTGACTTTTTTCATAATTTAAGGTAATTACTGATATTATGTATATTTTTTATTATGTTGACTTTTCGCAAAATTTAAATTTTTTTTTCAAATTTTATTTTTAGCTAAATCGTAGTGATAGTGATAGTTCTATGCCATTATATCGTCGAGGTGGACCGTTTCAAAGAAATTCTCTAGAAAGGAGAAGCCTAAGGTGGAAAAAGGTATACTGTGTTTTAAAAATAATTGTGCATGCCTTCATGTATAACATGTGTGTTTCATTAGCAGTATTTGCGGCCGAGCAGTAAAATCGCTGAACACTGGTAGTTCGGTCTGAGGTTCGAATCCCGCGAACGGGCTGGCTGCATGGGCGTTTTCGTGGTTTTCCCCATGTGTAACATGTATACGAGCCAGTTTCCCTTAGAAAGTCCTCCACGAAGGCATCCCTTCTCTTAGGCAGATAACCCTCGAGGCTTTGCCATAATCACACACACACACATTAGCAGTATTTATTTAAACTTAAGTGAATTTTCATATGAAGCAGCATTCATTTTTCTTTTTGCTTTGATTCACTTAATTTGCCTGAACGAACTATTGGTTATCAAAAGTTTTATTGCATACAGCATTGAACCCCAATTAAAATCCGAGACAAAGTATCAATCTATGTAACTATTCTTTATGATTTGAAGGCCATTAAATATCTGTCTATGCATCTTATGTTCTGTCTAAGAGATCAGAGGTAGGGAAGAGGGAGGGCAAAATCTTCCCTTGCCATCATCTGAAATCTGTCATTGATGGAATGGATTATCACTGAACATTAGCTGTTCAAGTCTGGTTTATATTGTGGCATATGGTTTGCTGCATGAGGTTTTTGTAGTTTTCTTGTGTGATGTTTTCCTCTCAAAAACACTTCTTTAGGTCAATAGCCATCTTTTTCTTATATTTATTTTTTAGTTTTAATTAATTAATTATGCATTAATTGGTCAAAATTGGTATAAAGCTTTAGAACATGTTTTTTGTAATTAAATACAGTTATGTTCCTGAATCTGCAGTTTCATTTATCCATGATTCAGACAAGCTGGGAAAAAAGAAGAAAAAGCTATAAATTTTCATAAGTTTCAGAATGCAAGAACATGTCATCTCTCAGCATAACTAAAATTTACAGAAATCGGTTTCAATGCACACAGTACAAAGGGAATCACATAAGCAGAATATATGTAACTGAGATGCTATCTCAAAATCTCATTTCACGAATAAATGCAAAATGGAAACTACAGTAGTGCCAAGAACATAAAAAATGGAATGTTAGGTGTCTAACACTCCTAGCATTATCCTCATATGTTTCTACACACTCCTTTTGGGCTTATATGACTAAATATGAGAAATGGGGATTGAATCTTATGTGTATTTTCAGGTTATAGGAAATCTTTCAACCTCTTTGCTTGTATCCCAACTTTGATGGTCATGAATATATTGATAAGGAATATTAGCTGTCGGTTGTCAGAAGTTATTTAACTTATGTTTGTGTTTTTTCCACTCATTCTTTGCTTTCACTTTATTCTCATTAGTTGTGTTATCACAGCTGTTTTGTTCTTAAATTTCTTATTTACTACAAAAAGAGTCTCAAAATGTTAGTATTGCTGCAAGTACTGGGAAAATTTTCACATTTCTACTGTTAATTTTGTATTAGTAGAAATATGGATAATTTTTATTCCTAATTCTGGTCAATAGCTTCCAGTATATCTTATGTATGGTATAAGAGCTGTGTTTCTACCAACTTCACTCACTTAGTGAATTAAGACAAGTGAGAAAGGACGTACTTTAAGACTTGTAAGACAGTCTACTCTGAAGTACATTGACATTTTGCATAACTATATTTAATAGTAATGTGTATAATATGGTATAGTGACAGAATACCTTTGTACTTTATTTAATATTTGGATACTCTATGAACTAAACTTGAATATGTATATTGCAGGAATATTCTGTTTTATATAGGGTTTGTTGTTATTCATGATTTGGTGTGGGTCTGGTGAGTTCTAAAAGATAATTCATTCTTCTAAAGATAATTCATTCTTCCTAATAAGGTTTACTCCTGCAACTGCTAAGTGTCTGCCAGTGACCTCTGTCAAAAGTTCGGTGTGGCATACTTTGTGCACTTGTTTAAGTTCAGCCATCCAGCATAGTGCTGTCTGCAGCTTCCCTTTCAGGACGGACGTCCAATGTATGAGCTCCGTAAGAACGTCTCTTACAGCCGGGTGTCCCATCCATGCATCACTAGAGATTGCATTCAGAGGACGGGTGATGCGTATACGCATTTTAAGCTGGAACGTTTTTATGAAGGCCACTAGATTGCATTCTATGTCCATTACTTTTGAAATGAACACAGCTTTAGGTTCCTGACCTTGAAATTGATATATTCTGCTTGACTTTGGTATTTTACTCATCAGCTCTTGCGAGGGTTAGGGGGAAAGCGTAAACAGAGATGAGCTCTTAAAATTGCTGCGTTCTAATGAAAACATTTGCGTGTCTGATTTATATCCAATTCCTTTTTTATGCTATTTTTTCCTCTACTATGTACAGTCTTTTAGGGTTAATATGTTCAGTTCTGTTACATTTTGCATTGCCTTCAGATATATTTCCGTTTCTTCTCTTTTTATTTCGGAAAGGCCTAACCTCTTATGGCGGGAAGGTGCTGCAGAGGAATAATACCCTCATATGGTTAATGAACAATTTACTAACGCAAATGAAATACCCTCATATGGTTAATGAACAATTTACTAACACAAATGTGTGAGATGATTCTTTTTCTAAAGAGTTAGAATGTAACACTTTTTCAAAGAGTTAGAAAGTGGTACTTTTTCTAAGAGTTTTCGAGATTTACCCCACTCAATCCTCGTTTTAAATCTTGTTACTTCTTACTGTAAATAGTCTTTATTGTGTTGTTTTATTAATTTTTTACTTTATTGATTAATTTTATCAATTAAAACTTTGGAATAATTTGAATAGCACTTGTGAAAATTTTTTTACAAGATAAGGACATTTTTAAGTATATTTTCATGTATATTAAAGAAAAAAACGTTATTCAGTGCTAATTTTAACATATATTAGAGCTCAAGTAATAAGGTAAAATGATACCAAAAATTACAATGCTAGAAGTGAAACTTTTTTTTTTTTTTTTTTTTCTGATTTTTTTTATAAAATTAGGCTTAGCAATGCAAAACCTCCGTCCTGTACGGTGACTCCCTTCCATCCCGCGCTAGTGTCTTAAACAAAGGTGCGCCATCGTGAAAAGGTTAAGTAGCAAATATTGCACCAAAGCAAAATGCAATAAAACATGTTTTAACGTTGCCAGATGTGTAAATGTTGAGTTGCACCATCTAATTTGTAATAGAAATTCTCATTTCATGAGAGTCATTATTTCTGGAGGGACATTTGACAAGTCAAATGCTTCCTTTAATATTAAAAAGATCCTAACCGTTATTTAAGATTTGTGCTGTTATTTTTGTTTGTTAAAAGTTTATTATTTGCAGTAATATCTAAAGTATTTCCTTTACTGAATGTTAATAATATATTTTGCTGAATTGCTTTAAGTGAACATATTTGCTGATTCTGGCTTTCCTATAAAATTTTACAGTAAAACTAGTATTAACATAATGTTTGTTAAATTAAAAAAAAAATAATAATAATATTAGCTAAGAAACATGTCAATGTATAATTTTGGACACAGTGTATAAATATAATTTGAAAATTAAATCCAGTTGTGATGAAATGAAATTTATGTGCTTCATTATAAGGGTTTATTAATGCATGCAACAATATACAAAATGGTTGTGATCATTATGTATAAAAAAATAATTCCTTTTTCTTAGTGAATTTATCTGGTATATTTTAACGTTAATCAAACATTTTTAAAACAAATTTTCTGTTTTTTTTTTAATTTAGCCTCCTGTAGCTTGTTCAAAACATAGGTCAACAAATTTTATGAAATCGGGAACAGTTCGAACATCATTAGACTTAGCTTTAGATTTGCAGGCATTTCACAGACGTCTAAACCAACAACAAGAAGAAATAAATAGACTAAAAGAACTGAAAAAACGATTGGAAGAATCAAAAATAAAAGGTATGTTATATATAGAGAACTCATGGAATATTAATGTAGTAAATTTACTTAGTGTTCTTTTGTGGAGAGCACAACCTTTCAAAACAATGCTAACAATGTGGATTAATTCTTTTCATATTTGAGAAAAATATGTTGAAGTTTGAAGCTTCGTATAAAAAATGGTAAGATTTTGAATTTTATCAATTTTTCCTTATTTTGTATTTCAGGTCCTTTTTCAGTTGTAGTAACTAACCTCTTTGTTTTCTGTATATCTCATATGATACGTTTAGTTTACCTCTGTAACTGACGACCCTCCTGTAATTAGTTATGCTGAAATGGAACATTTCATTTCAAATTTAAATAAATACCTCAGAAATATAAATTATCTAAATATAAATTATCTCGGAATGTTGCGAAAACTTACTTAGTGGAATCTCCAGAGTGTTAGCATCGTTGCGATAATATCATTTATTATTTTATTCAATGAAAGTAAAATGTATAATGTCAAGAACGCCTGCTCATAATGTGGAAGTGTTTCACGCAGTGCAAGTGACTTAAAATATTTGTAGGTAAATATGGCAGTAAAATACAGTAAGCAGTGATTTTTAAATTTGTTGGTTTTTTTTACTCATTATTGTGCATAAGTAATTAAAATAGGGGACTGTAATCATTATTACTAATATTACATTTTAACTTATTCTGTTTTTTATTTTTATTATTTAACATATGCAAGAATCAAAATAAATAGATAAATAGCAAGTTTTGTAGGAATTATTTTTGCATGTTAGGCTTAACTCCAAAATGCAAATTAAGTGCTCTAAGGTCACGGGCAGACAGGTTATCTTCGTTCGCTCAACTCCAGATGTGAAGAGGTTATTCCTAGTTGTGAAATGTATGTTTGCAGATTTAGGTTTTTTTTTAATTGAAATGCATTAAATTTATTTCATTGCTAGGGATAAAATTCTTAATATATTCTTAAAACTGAAGATTATTAAAAATTTTATAGATTTTCCCCAGCATTACTTTAGTAATGTTTCTGCATGTGCTAAGACATGCACTCTGATTCTGTTGCCAGCTGAAATGCTTTAAAATTCTTGATCATAAGTGCAGAAGTTCAAAAGCCAATCAGCTTAAATCATTTAAAAGGGATGAGGTAAAGGTTTATTGTTCTCGTGAAAATATGAGTGAAAAAATGCTTATTTTTAAATTAAAATTTTTTTAAAGTAGAAATTCCTTTTGGTGCAAATGAAAATTTACATGGTGTTTTTGACTTCATTGGCCATGCTGAAATGTATAAACCTTCCATCCGCCACCTTACGGAAAGACTTTCTGCATATTCCAGCATTTGTCATCACAGTGAATAAGTCCTAATGATAATCATTCAGTAATGTGGACATTTTTTTCTGTTGGTTCTAGTAGAAACAGTTATATGCTGTCCTTACCATAAAGTTCAAAGAATTTTGGAACTCATTTCCTTCAAAAAGGAAGAGAATTTTGACTGTCATAAGAATTTTGACCTGCTAAATTTGAACATGACTAGAAAACTGGATTAGCTTAAATTTACCAAATAATTTTATTCTTAGTAAAATGTGGTATATAATTACAGTAGAATTCCAATAATCTTAAAATCTCTGTAATGTGTGCTTTGTTTTGGATGCAAGTAAAATTTATATTTTTAAAATATTCAGCATAATAAATTTGATAATTTTTTCCTTATATTAATAGGGAAGTAAACTTAAACACATATTGTATTTATAATCTACTTTAATTGAAGGTAATTTTTTTATTTTTGCAAGCATATTAACATTTTTAGTGCACACATCCGAACTCTTAGTCTAGGATTAGGAAGCTGAGCTGATTTTTTGTTAATGATAAATCCGTACTTGAATCATATGTCTCTGCCTTTTATTATTCAGTTTATGTGGTTAGTATACGTAAAGAATTCATTTGTGTTCAACGTTCAGGGTACCAGGTTCCAACTTAAGTGCATTTTGTAGGAGATTTGTTTGCATCTTATGCCACAAGCAAACTTTGCATTTTGTGCAGGAAATTGTGGTGTTTGTGTCGGTTTTGGAAATAATGGTAAAGAAAAATGGGCTAACAACACTAATAAACTCAAACAGTCAATTCTGGCACTTACTATTTACTACTAGTGTTATTAAATGACACACAAAATATTTTGATGTGTTTGTACAAAAACACTTAAATTCCTCAAAATATTTCCCTCTCATTTTCGTTCCTTTTTTTTTCAGTCTATTATGTTTTCTCCTTGTACTTGCATTATTTTCTTTGTATGTAACTGTATTTAAAATACATAGGTGTTTTGTATTTTGTACATCTCAATTATGAGATTTAAGTAGGGTTTAATGTGTGTTACTGAGTATGTTTTACTGAAAGCAATTGAAATTTAATGCAAAAATTGGTACAGAAGTAATGGTAACAAAATTTTATAAGGCATGATTTATAACACACAGGATTTTTTAATCTGCTTTCTGGTCCCAAGATGTGTAGATTAGAGGAATTTTGCTGTATATGTGATGTGTAACATGGACTGTTTGTTGCACAGGAACTGTCAAACTATTCTGATACTTGTGGACTGGTTGCTAACAGTATGCTATATGGTATTATAAGAGTATCGTTATTAAATGTACAGTATAGCTGCTATAATACAATAAGCATAGTGTTTATGTGGCATAATTCTTATATTTATGATACTAGTCACTTCCTGGGTCAGTCACGTAACATAGCTAGTATAAAAAGAAAACAGTATAATTCATTAATGAGTTTAACTAGTGTAATTTCATGAGTCAAACTGTAATTAATTATAACAGAACTGCATTTATTGTTTTTAAATTGCTTAGTTTGTTAATTGATTACAGACAGATTAAATTTAAAAGGAAAATTAGGTAATGCACTTTTCATTGAATGGCAACAAAGATGGTAGATAAAACAACATGGAAGATAAAAGTATTTTATATTGGGCAGTGGCAATGCATTTCTTTTAAATTACTGAGTTCTTTTAATAAATTTGAACTGCAAATAACTTATCATAAACACCAGCCATAAACATTAGGTCATCCCAACAGAGGTGAAAAACATTATTTTTAAACTATCAAACAAGAAAGTGCCTGGAAAGAAACATGCAACAATCATTTCAATTCCCAAACCAGGGTAAAATAACTTTAAAAGTCAGAAAATTTCGGGTCGATTGAAAAAGTCCTCCAAACGTGGTATAAAATGTTGGAACCAGCTTTGTTCAAACTCCCTGATTAGCAGTTTGAGCTCCCTAAAGGGTTATCCACCACTATGCAAGTGACAAGTATTGTGGAATTTGTCAGTGATGTTATTCACAAACACCAGGCCACTGCTTTGTTCTTGCTGGATGTGGCAAAGGCCTTTGACCTCCTTCTCTGGCGTGAAGATTCAATCTCTGAACTCACTAAGCTTAATCTTTGTAGAGAGCTGGTCCTTATCGTCCACTGCTTTCTGATTAATAGAACTTTCAGCATCAAGCAGGGCAAGCGCTACTCGGTATCTACCAAAATCCTAGCTGGTATCCCACAGGGGTCAATTCTTCTCCCAATCCTCTATCTAATTTATGCCATGGATAATGGCATTAATTTTATCGCATGCTATGACGATGATAAAGTTGGGTTCTATGAATGTTCTTGAGTTTTATGAATCCCGTATTTGTCATTCCTCGTTTATAAAGCTAGAATGCACCATATAGAGGATTGTTGCATGCATTAATACAGCAAAATCCAAAATGTTAATTATTGGCTGTTGCAGGAGGAGCAGCAATGATGAAGAGATCACACTTTTAAAAAATGGGACAATGCCTAAAGTCACCAGAGTAACTTATTTAGGGGTGAAATGTAATGTCACACTGACATGGAAACCACATGCTTTGGCTGCTGTAGGTAAAGCCGCTGGGATTGCTAGGAAATTAACTCCTCGAAGCCTCCTCTCCTCTTGACCTTGTGCAGAAATAGCGGTTTTATACAGCAGTTATTTGTCCTATTTTGAAATGTGCTGTGCCCACCAGGAGCTCTGTTTCAGACAGATTTTAGCTTTGCAAGCCTTTCAAAACAATTTTCATTGAAAAATCACCGGGGCACCCTGGTTTGTATGCTACAATTAGACAAGCACCTCAAAATTGATGACTTAAAAGAATATGAATAAACTTGCTCCAATTTCTTTATAAATAAACTTAACTCCAATTTTTTCAAAGCTACCATTAATAACACGGTAAACTATGCAGACAATTTCAAATATGAATTAATTAATACAGATGTGAATTTTAAGACCTTTCATTACCTGCCTACCCCATAATCTCTTGTGTAACACCTAATTTTTTGGCTCTCTTAAACGTTTGTTGGTTTTTCACATCTTTAAGTAAACAATAAATTACTGCCACATCCATATGTTAGACCTCTTTCCTGCCTGGGTATTTTAATGTGTCCTATCCCACAGCATGCAAATCATACGTAAGCCAGAGCCACTACTTCTTCCCAACATTCACCATTGTGGTCCCACCCATGAAGTTTTTTGTATATGAGGTCTCCATAATCAGAATTTCTTTAAGGTGCTAGTAATAGCAGCATAGGCATAGCTCAGTGAAACTATCATGTACATTTGTATAAATGCATCAATTGTAGACCATTGTTATTTATTTGAAACTTGGATACTTTATGCTTTTTGGTGAGCTGATTTTGGCCTAAATTGTTTGTAATAATGTGTGCAATTTTTGGTATCTGCAGATATTGTGCTCTATTCATAGATGATTGTTTAATCATATAGATTTAAAAATAGGATGATGATTAATTGTTGTATATTTTATGCATATTTAAAGAGAAAGTTGTTTTTAGCTAGTCAAATTGGCCTGTTATGATATATGCAGTAGCAGATGGAAATAATAGTTGAGTTTTCTAGTTTGTGTCATTGTCTTGTGTTGAAAATCCTGTATTGTAGTCTTGAAAACTGCTAAAGATATGTAATTAACTTTTATTTATTTTTAAGTA